ATATATTTCATTCTGCAATGCTACATTCCTTATAACTTGTTGTGATATTTTAACTTTATCAATATGAGATAAATCGTGCATTTACAGGGAAAAGAGTATTTTAGAGAGAGCTAATATACATTTCCAGACTTGATTGAGGTTACAAAATTGTGTAGAAGAATGTTAGAAACAATAAAAAACTATCACTATTGAACTTCTAATGTGAACCAAGTATTTGACTAGTAACTTGTAATGTTACTATATTAAATAGTATACTAGAGAATATATGCTATTGAACCATAGTGGAGATAAAACTAAAAACATTTAGGGACATGAAATAATTTCATAAGGAACAGAGATAGAATATTTTCAAACCACTCTGACCAGGACTGAGAAACTTTGGTGCTCATCCTCTGCCAATGCTTTTTCATCGTTTCCTCAAGTTTATGAGTAAACTGAGTCATGGTCCAAACAAAGGCACTTTTCCAGAATAACTGAAGTTCAAAAAATGTACTTTAGACTCTCTGGGATGATAGGTCTCTCCTTTTTTACTTACTAACTGACAGGAAGAAGAGATAATTCTCAAAAGACATTGCGGGTAACTTTATTTTCAAATATTTAATGACTACCAGTGAAAGGAAATAAAAGGAAAATGATTTTATTTTCTTTCATTTGAGGAATGAAGATACTACTTTCATGCAATTAGTTGTGTAAAGAACACTGTGATTATTAATATCAGTATTGTTACGTTGCATGAACCTAATGTGAGAAGCGTTCTTCTTGAGAGATAATTATACTTATAAATAGCAAAATTATAAATAATGGATAATACTTTCATGTTTCCCAGATTTCAAAATAATTTCATTATCCTAAAAGTATGCTCAATGAGTTTATTAGGACTTTATTGAAAATAGATCTCCATGACTTAGGTTGGCAAAAGCCTAATGTTCTTATGCTGTCAAGCACATTTTGGTTAGTCTGTTCACACGTGTATTGTGAAATTGTCAGGTGAATATGATTAACTAAAACCATTATGCAAATAATTTCGTAAGCTAAAAAAAGTATAAATAGTAAGCAACCATTTAATACTTGTAGTGATTATTCACCATCTAATAATATTTCATTTTTTCAAATTACACTGATGTAAAAATATTATTAACAATTCACAGAAAGGCAAGTTAATTTTAAATAGCTATGATATAAAACAATTGAAAATTTATACTTTTGTATTTTAAGAAATAATTGAGTTTCTTCTATTCCAATATCACCATAAAAGTACAGTGAAAGACTTAAATGTTATTTGGTTATTATCCTTAATCAATAGTGCATGTTTTCTACTTTCTTGTTTATTAATTAATCAAGTTTAGATATCTAGCACACTAGGTACCATGTTCATTCCAAAACTTCTGCATGATACTACTTGTAATATTATATAACGCCATATCAAGTAATTTCTGAAATTTCCTATGCTTTTTCACTGTGATTTAATAATACATATCTACCAATGAGTACCTATTGCTATTTTCCTTATAATGTTTCTGATAATACTTTCTCAAGTTTTTTTCTTAACTAGTTTCTGATATACCCCTTAAAAACTTAATATTCTTTGTGAAATATCCTTATTTTACTTTTTAATATTTGCTTTCATTAGCAAACTACTCATAACCTGAAAAAACATAATTGACTTCCAAATTCAGCACAGCTCTTTACTAATCACCCATTAGAATTTTTTTGCATTAACTTTATTCATTAGATCACTGTTCCTCAAGTTCAATGTGTCTGAATTAAACTGCTACTCTTCTCAACTCTAAGAAATCTGATGTTTCTTCCTTGTCACCTTCTATCTCAATTCTTGGGTGTTGAAAGGGTGGGTTCCTTGATGACTTCTTTAGGAATGATGTCAAACCTGAACCGACACTTCAGCAATGCAAAGCAGACCTGTTCTCCAAGCTTTTCCATAACTTCTATGGTACTGATGCTGTTTTCCTTTTCTTATTGACACCATCATCTTTAGATTCACTTCTCTTTTTTTTCAACAAACAATACATCAGTCATCTTCTTAGAGCTTCCAATGACTCCTACCTCCTTACAGGTTAAGCTCTAATAGCTTTTTCATAGTTCTAGAATTTTCTTAAAAGTCTGTTTCCAATTGACTTCATTGATATTAAATACTTTTCTACTAAGTATTTGGTCATGAGCTGCCCTGTCACTGATCCCTTCCAGATCTAGGAATATTGCAGTATGTCTTTGTTTTTATATTCTCTCTCTTCTGTGGTGCACTTCCTCCAAAAAGCCAAGATCAAAAGCAAATAACAGTTTGTCATTGATCCATACCCTCAACCGTTTTTTTTTATATCAACTTTCATAACCTCTACTCTTGTTGTATAATGTTCATGAGTATGGTATACCATGTATTAATTATTGTATATTTGTGGTATTGTTTAGTTTTAAGTTGGTCAAAGACAAAGATGTCAACAGCACATTCAACCTTTACTAAAGTGAGAGTCAATTGTAAATCTTTAACAACTCTATTGTGTGTTGACCTAAAACTATCATATAACACATATATTATCAACTACATGTCATAAATCTGATATATTCAGCAATCACAAGTATTTGCTACATGAGCATATTGTATTTAATGATGCATGAATTTGCATATATATTAATGTAAATGAAATACTTAATGGCTGAGTAGATGTTTCAATATTATCACTTTTAATCATTGAACCAGGCAGTGTTTGACTTCACCACAATGGACAGCATGTTACTGACAGTTAAAGCTCATTCCTCAGACCTTTGTCCAGTGAAAATTCCACCTAAGTGATGTCATCTTTCATGATATTTCCTGTAAACAGTAGAGAGAGCAAGTTCCCTCACTGGAGCAGATGTGCTCCACTTTGCTATCCTCTTCTCCCAGCTCCTTTCCTGCCCCTTTTCTCTTGTTTTGTTTCTCATTTAAATCATATTTACTTACTTGCTTCTCATTAAATGATAGACATTGTGATTCTATCACCTTTGCATTTTCAGTTACATTGTACTCTGTTCCTTACATATGTCCTAGTTCCTCTGAGAACTAGTCTCAACTCTTTTCATATCTAGTAACATCTCCCTTCCTCTGAGTGGGTTAACAAAAATGAAATCATTATTTTTCCCAGCAGGTTAAATTCTCCATTATTGCCAACCAAACAGGAAGTCACTGTGAAAAAGCAAAAACGAAAAACAAAAACATAATACCACTATCCTACCACACCAGCTTTTGTTTGGACAACACTTAACAATGCATGAGTTAGTTTCTCATCACCCACTTGATTTCACCATACCATGTGTTGACAGTCAACAGCAAGTGCTATCAAACTATAGATAGCTGAGGAAGTAGGGGTCAAAAGTCAAGCAAACTATTCTTAGAGGGGGCTAGAGATGAACCTGGTACTGAAATCAAGGTCTCCATCCCTTGATTCTGAGTGTTTCCTTCTATTTTAAACTGTTAATTGGCTTGTGTTCCTGCCTTGACATTAATGTTGACATATATTGGCACCTGAGAGGCAGCACAGTGAATGATGAATACACTCTTTTTCATCCGAATTACTACTTGGCTCATGTTCCTTTGATAGTACAAATTTCAACTAGTCCAGCACTGTTTGGCCAAAACTTATCTGAGAAGTTCTTTCTAAGCTCCCAAATACTACTAATTACTACCAATATAGAAAAAAATATTCAATCAATAAATAAAATCTTCCAATTCTTTATTTAAAATCAAAGGACTTAATTTGATTTTATCTGCTTTCACCAATCAATTGGTCTTCAAAGTGTTAGCAGGAATGATTTTGCTTTGACTAATCTGTGTCTGTGCATGTACAAGCATGCACGTGCATTTCATGCAATATTCCAAGGTAAAATGTGTTTTGTCTTTAAGTGAATTTGTTTAATTCTCTCACTAAGTTGCTTTGATATGTGGACCTTCTTAAAACCTTCAGTTATCAGTGCGATTTTGGTGTAAATGGATCTGCGTCCTCTACAGGGGGTAGAAGGGCTGAAGCCTGAAAGCAGAGCTGACCTCTATTTTGGGATTGAGGCACTTTTTCTTTTATCTACTCCCTCTCAATATTTCAGCATCGCCCTGGAACTCTCAAGTCATCCTCAGCTCTCAGCAACAGAATACCTCCTCCACTTCTTTCCTGTGAGTGCATTAAGTCTCAGATTGGCTGTGGAATCCCATCTCTCTTAGTGGACAGAGAGCATCCAGCCACCTGGCAGAGAGGAGTCTGGAGCCTTCGGGTTTTGTTGTTTCTCTGTGGGTTCTTGCCTCAACAGCGCTTGACAGGGAGAGTCTTAGAAGCAGTGAGTTGCTGCCTTTCTTGTTTGGTCGAAAAACAAAGCGAAAAGACTTCTTTCCCAGAAGGAAAAGTTTCAAAACCCACACGGTAATCACTCTACACTGTAAAAATCACTTTAACTCTCTCATTACAAATTGCGCTGTCCAGTCTTCCCCAAGGGTTCTTAGGAACCTCCTTTGCCTCTTCCTGTTAGATCTGTCCTCACAGGGCTTGTCCCTGAGTGTCCCACACACCACAAATCTACCCTTAACAAATTTAACTCTGCCCCCTCATATATAACAGCAGTAAACGTACTGCTCACCCAAACACGGCATAAACATATGCCAAACTGTTTACTTGATCTCTGCTAGACTGTCATTTTAGAAAGTCTTAGACTGGAAACCCAGAGATGAAAAACACTTCACTTTGTAATGAAAGTACAGCGCTGCCCTCATTCACTGCCTAGCCGTGAGCTGCGAGAGAAACAATCACCCCAGTGACTCACTGTTGCCTCTTAGTTATGTTGTTCTTTCCTGATGGCTTAGGACGTGACCTAATTCGCTTGCAGGAATCATACTTTTGACCTGAGGATCCCGGCAAAATCAGGACCAGCTGGAAGCACAGGGGTCCCATCAGGAGCCCCCCAGCTCCTGATTATCGTCCCAGATTTGGAGATGGAGGAAAGGGCAACTCTGTCCCACTTACCGGTCTTCCAGAGATAGAGGGTGGGCACCTCGGAGTCTCCCTGCGCCGCAGCCCCACGGGCGCTGGAGCTCAGCAGGAGCAGGAAGAGCAGTGGCAGCCGCAGCAGCTGCAGGACGCCCCGGCTCGGGGACGCCAGGCGCCCGGCTCGCAACCCCATGCTGTCCGCAGCCGCTCCAGCCTCCGGAGCCGCAGTACTCTCGCAGGGGACGGTCCTTCCTTCTCCACCAGAAGAGAAGGCAAAGCTCTCTTTGCTGCTATTGTTCGCTCCAGATGAAAAGCAGCCAAAGAGCAACTAACACTAGGGAACAATAGCATCCGCGGCGGCCGTGGACGCCACCGCCGCCGCCGCTGGCGGGGATGCTGGCGGGGATGCTGCCGCCGCTGCCATGGCGCGCAGACTGGCAGGTCCTAGCGGCGAGGGACACAGCCGGCCGCAGGGGGCCCCAGCTGACAGAGCCGGCCCAGAGCTCTGCGAGGAGCAGCCCCGGCCGCCAGCTGTAGGGAGGGGAGGGGGGCGAGAGCCGAGAGGAACCGTGGGGACTCGAGGGGTCCACAAGCGGGGGCCAGCGAGGGCACAGGGCCAGCACCCAGACCCCACGCGCCCGCCCCGAGAACTCCCCGGCACATGGTGCGCTGAAATATGTTCGCCAAGGATACTCCAATAAAAGGAATCATCTCGGGGCAGGCTTCAGGATGACGAATAACTGACATTGAAATTCATCGTCACCCAAGGAGTCAGATGCTGATCTAGTGGTGTGCTATTCTCCTAGCGTATTTACACAAAGCTTCAGTGCTGGTCATTTATTCTGAAGCCGTGCCTTCTGAATTACTTTATGTGAGGAGTGGTATTTATGAATTTATAAGGGAACAGACCAGAACTCACTGTCAAAAGGCACTTGAGTACTTTCTTAAGTGTCTTTTTTTTTAAAACTTCAGTCCATTCTCAGTAACAATGTGACCGTGGTTAGTCCGTGTCAAATTCAACACATTGTCTTGTAATCGCCTTTGAAAGTGAATTTGTACTTAAGAAGTGTGCGCCATAAATAAGAATGTGCAAACACTGCTAGTCGGATTCTCTTTCAACCGTGAAGTAAATAAAAGTTCCATTTCTTTCTCCCCTCTCTCTGTTGAAAACACACTAATATGTATTAGAGCCGAGGAGAAAAATTAAAGTGCGAATGTGTCAGGACAGTAGTTGACTATCTCCCAGTTAATAAACACTACTTAAATTTTATTCCTGAGACTAATGTCTCCTGATTCTTTTTTTAAATGCTTTTCACAACCAAAATAAGCAACCACATGGCTTGTACCTTTTGTTCTCTGTTTTCATTTTCTTAGATCAGTACTAACAGAAGAATGTGTGCAGTCAGATAAAGCTTTGTCCCTCCCCCACAAACTCACAATAACAGTCTTTTATTATTAATTCATTTCCTTGTAAAGCTTAAATAACATCAAGGCAGTTAGCCATAGAAAACAAAGCAAAACAACAACAAAAATCCCTGAGCAACTAACCCAAAGCTCAGGATAGCTATTGTCATTTGGTTCCCAATCTTACACCAAACACAGTAACATTTGAAAAGCAGAAAACTTCCCTTGGTGACTTCACCCGCCAGGATCCAACCACCCATGAGTCTGAAAGGAGAAAGCTACTGTTTCTTAGGGAGGAAACCTTCCCTAGGGCTCCCTGGGGATGCTTGTCATTTTGCTGAGCTTTCCAGACACAGCCCTTCTGCATGCATTAGATTAAAAGCAGGTTTGATCAAATAATTCCCAGGTCCTGCCTGTTTAAGTATTCTGACATCAGAGGAAATTAGCTGCATTCAGGGTTGCAAATTTGGTCTTTGTTTACTTTTCACTCTGTTAGGCCTCTAAGAGGGAATTAAAAGCTCAGAGAGCCCTGGCCTGTGTCTGTGATTAGAGGCGATAAGCCAGTGTGGCTTACTATTTCTACACTGGTGAAAAATAGGCAATGATCAAAAGATTATAGGTTGATAGGGATACAAAGAAAGCCTGATCCTAACTAATGCATGCTTCCCCGAAGGAGCAAGTCCTTCAATATTCACACTGTCAAAGAAGAGAAAGACCTGCCATTGCCTCCTGGGCTCTGTCCTCTCAGAAATTGCTCCTCCCTGCAATGCCACTCTGCAAGGAAGCGTCTTCCTACCCTTTCTGGTTGTATTTCTCAGTTGATAGTGTCCAATTCTGAAGTTCTATAACCTCACACTGCAGATTCTCTGTTATTAGTGCCCATTCATAGCATTTTTCCTAAGTCCCAAGTCAATTCACCAAGTGGAGGTTCTTTATACAACAGAAGACAGAGCATGGAAGGGGGCAAATCAGAGTAGCTGATGTGCAAGCTCACCACCTAGACCTCCCAAAAGCCATCAGATGTCACAATCCATAACCTAATGTCAAAAGAAAATTAAAGATTGAATTATTATCCAGGATTGTATAATAATTGTATAATAATTGCCTATCCACATAAGACATTAAATACGGCAACTATAACATCAAGGCTAATTTCTAAATCAGCATCTATGGTCATTTAAAATACACAACCAAGGTGACATATTGTGCAGAAGTGTTTGAAATTTGCTATCAGTGGGGTCCCCTCTTTTAACTGAAACTTAAACCAAGCTTAGGGGAACCCCACCCCCCACATACATATGTAAACGTTCCCTAATAGTGGAAACATCTCTAAACAGTGTTAGAGAAACTGAGTCATAAGCACATGTCTCCACCAATGCCACATTTCTGTTCATGCAATGTCATTACTGCACGTGAGGACAAAAATGTTTGGTTGCTGAAGAGACACAGGATGCATATAATCAGATACACAACTCTGTAGAAGAAAGAACACTGTCCATGTGGATAAACTGTATCACTAAACTTGATAGATGGCAAGTGATAGCAAGATGTACCGATCTTTGTTTTCTAGAATGGTATAAATAATACACAAATGTATAATGACACTATGTCAAAATATGGTCCAGAGATGTCTCAAGGATTCAGATTTAAACTGGCCATCTGTACAGCCTGCCATGAAGTAAATCGGTCATTATTTTTCATGAACTGTTCAGGTATTAATGAGCCAGGACTAGAAAAGTTTTCCAAACCAAGAGAGGATAAATGCAAAACAATTTTTAAATACTTAAAAATGGCACAATTCTGAACTATACATTATATGTATGGTATCCTTAATTGCCCTGTGTTACATTTACTCCCATTTGAGAACTCTACTGTCTAAAGATATGCACATTGACATGCACTTACACACACACACACACACACACACACACACACACACACACACACGTGCTTGCGTGCGTGCGTGCATGCGTGTGTGTGTGTGTGTGTGTGTGTGTGTAAGGGCAATATGTGATGCAATATAGACAAAATTATTTATTGATAGCATATTACATAGAAGAGTATTTAAAATGCTTATTTTGAAATAAAAATCTTAAATAAATTTCTCTACATCATTACTACTTAATTCCGATAGCAACATCAAAAACTCAAAGGAATTCTATTTATGCATCCTCTAGGTGTCATACTTAACCAAGATTTGTATTCAACAACATTTATTTTAGGCTCTTTCCCATTAATTCTCTGCTACACCTATCAAATTATAAAACAAAACAAGAAAACATTTCACATTTGATCTCTGTGGTAAGTAGCCATGTATCTTACCTTCTCAATTTTGACTCATATTTGTCCTCAATTTCTCTTCCAGTTCCTTTTTAGTTACCAACAGTGTACTATGTTGGTTGTTTGATTGGTTGATTGATCAACTGGTTTTCTGATTTGTAGTTTTACAATTTTGATAAGAGATAAGACTCTAAATTTAAAAGTTTTACATAATAATATCGTCATATATTCTCCACGTTACTAATAACTAAAGTATTTTGGAAACAAAGGAGATCTTAATTTGTGCATCAGGTGAAAGTACCATGTTTTACTTTAGATCCTTCAAACACTGGGGATAGATTATTTACAACTGGTCTTAGACTCGGGGAGCATCCTATTCCAGGTGGTACATGTGGCATCAGTGGTACCTGGCAGAAGATGGGAGTCAATGTGTTTAAGTTATCTACCAATGGTAACTAGGCAGAATGTTCTTAGCGAGCTAAGCACTCTGGTAGAAAGCAATGATTTGGATATTTGAGAAACACAGGAGAACAGCACACAAAAGGACAACAACATTGACAAGTTATTAGTAGTGTGTTGTCATGATGCCCCACAGAAGGATAATGAAAAAGCATTGGCGTTTAACAAACAAGTGTGAAGATATAGACCAGAAGTTTTCCTTAGCAGTTGAACAGTTGAAATATAAACCTTTGTCTCATTGGTGGTAGAATAGAAAAACCCGAGGACCAAACTGAAATTTTTTTTTTTTTTTTTTTTGGTTTTTTCAAGACAGGGTTTCTCTGTGTAGCTTTGCGCCTTTCCTGGAACTCGCTTGGTAGACCAGGCTGGCCTCGAACTCACAGAGATCCACCTGCCTCTGCCTCCCGAGTGCTGGGATTAAATGCGTGCGCCACCACTGCCTGGCCCCAAACTGAAAATCTTAAGAAATGATAACTTCAAAAATAATGGAAAGATTCTGTGAGTTAGGCTTGCTGTATTAAGACTAGGGTCTTACTAAGAAAAACCTGTGCTTGCTTTCTGTTGCTTTTTTTGGCAGCTGGAGTGAGCAGCTTGCTCTGACATGCAGCTGCACTACAGTGTACTGCTACCCCATCACAGGCTCAAAGGCAATGGGGGAGAAACCTCCAAAACATTGAAGAAAGCCAACCCTTTCCTCCTTCTAGTTGATTGCCTTAGATATATAACAGTAATGAAAAGCTAACATATCCAGTTGTTTGAAAATAATTTGTTTCTAAGATTATTACTTTTCTCACTGAGCTGCCTTGGCACTTTTTGTTAAATGTCACCTGACTATAAATGGGATGATTTATTTCTATTCTTTGGTAAAAATGCCAACCTTAAGCTTATACCAACTGTCTGTAGGGAATTATGAAATACATTAAATGCTCTAGTTTTCTTTTTTCTCAAAAGTGGTTATTCAAAGCTCTGTGTTATCAAAAGTGTTTTAGGGAGATTTTTCAAATTCTACAAATTGCTGGTAAAGATTTAAATGGAGAGAGTAACAAATCTCCAGATAAATTTGAAGAGTAGTAATGATTCTATTGATTCATAAACATGGAATGTGCTCTCTATTTATTTAGTCTTCCTAAATTATTTTCATGTTATTTTGTATGTTATTTTCAGCACAAGAAGATTGCATATACTTTGTGA